AAAAGTCTAAATCTGCCCTTTACAACCCTTTTCCCTTTTTAAATACTTAACCCTGATATCTTCCCTGATTTTCAAATTATTAAAAATTTTTTATAATGTTTAAATTTTTTTTAAAAATTTTCCCCCCCCAAGTTTCCCTTTAAATTTTTTTTTTCCCTTTAAAAAACGATCTTTTTAGAGAAATTTTCAAAATAAAAACTTAAAAGCACAGGGAGAAGAATTTTATTCTGCTTAAATTAAATTTAAAAAGTGCATTATTATAAATAAATTGAGAAATTTAAAAACGTTTTTTTTGACCTATATCATTTAAATTTGGGCCAAAAGATGCTATGCCCCTTTTTTAAAAAAATCCTGAAAAGGGAAAATTCACAACAAAGCAAAATTCTATCGTTAACGCCAGTTTTAAAAAAAAAATTATTTTGCCAAAGTAGAGAAAAATTTTTTCCTTTTTTAGAAAAAAGGGATAAATTTATTTTTTCATATGACTAAAACGTGGGTTTTTTAAAATTTATAAAAAGATAAATAAATAAAAAATAAAAAAAAATACATCAAAAAACAGCCTTTAACCAAAGACTTCATTTTCCTGGGAATTTTTCCCTGGGTATTGGGTGTAGTCCCAAAGTCTGCATACAGCTTTAAATGTGCCTATTACAGGCTTAAACCCTATGTTTATTGTAAAATATGGAACAGTAAAACATTAAAAAAAAAAAAAAACTCTATCTTATTTTAAAAATAGAAAAAAATGTTTTTCTTTTAATTTAAAAAAAAATTTTTTAAAATAAAAAGGTTTAAAAATTAAATTTCTTTAAAAAAAAAATTTTTATAATTTTTAAAAAAAGAAAAAATTTTCATTACTTTAAAAAAAAGGAAAATTAAAAAATATCATTAAATTTAAAAAATATAAGAAATTTTTAAAAATGAAAATTTTTCATTACTTTAAAAAATAGAAAACAAAAACGTGGATATAATGTTCTTTTTAAAAATAGAAAATAAATTTTACATTACTTTAAAAAAAATAGAAAATAACCGAAATCATTACTTTTAAAAAAATAAAATATAACTGATATCGATTTCTGTTAAAATAGGAATATAATTTGAAATCATTACTTTTAAAGATAGAATTATAACTGATATCATTACTTTCAAAAGTGTATTTACTGCTTGAAAAAAATAGATTAAAGATCAATGTGATTGAGAATAAACATTTTAAAATGATGACGAATTATAATATTGTTGTTTCTAAAACAGTTAACTATGTTCCCCATATAGCATGTTACGTTTATATCGATCATGTATCTTCACATGAACTTGGTAACAACTTTCCCCCGTATAAAAATTTTTAGTGGTTTGACTGTTATGTTTAAAATTTAATTACAATTTAACGTTATAATTCAATTGGGATTACCCATCTTTAAGATCTATTAAAATTTAAAAAAAAATTGTAAATTATGGGACTGGTTACTTTCTAAAACAGGACGTAGGAAAATGGTATAAAAAATCCACCGTTGACTCCTTTTAAAAATTAAAAGATATAAATAAAGTAAAAAATTGAAAAGAAAAATATAAATAATTTATTAATTTTACGTTAGCGTCTGACGGTGCCATGCATTTCTTTGTCCGTTGTGACCACATAGGGAGGTAATTCGACGCTCACCTGGAACTTTGGTAATACTGTAATAAACGATCAGAGATAAGTATATGCAGCTTATAAATTTCATATAATCATGTTTTTATACTGAACATTGCAGAACTAATTAATTATTGTCTGAATCTAATAATTGTAAGGGATCTTTTCTAAATATTTATATTATGCAAATTTAATTAGAAAATAGTTTTACAGAACTTCAAACACGTCATTTTTATGATTTTATATGTTTTACATGGTATTTTTGTATTCCTCGAAAATCCATGTCTTCAACCTAAAGATATGTTATATGTGCTATTATAACGAAATAAAATTATTTGAGATCGAGTTTGAATAATTATAGTTTATAACTTATCTTATAAAAAATATTCCTATGGAAATGACATTTCCTGCAACAGTATTATATGATTAGAAATAAAACAAACAAAAAATTTAATACATTAAGATTTAAATCTAACACTTCATTAATTAAAAAATATCTCAATATTTACAAACATTTGTTTGTTGCTTACTTAAAATAATAGAAAATAAACGAACAAACACATGATGTCACCTTACCGTATTTATCCACTTTGAAATATTTCTCTTCAGTTGCTGTCTAAAGGAGAAAAAACACACAATTTATAAATATCTCGATTTGATGTTTTATTTTCCATTTTTTAAAAGTTAAATTGGTCTATAATTGAAGAGCTATGTTATACTATAAAAATATAAGCTGATAGTTTATAGCGTCAGATACCACGAAAACATTATACATTGTATATCGGTAATTGTGTCCTTTACCACATATTATACAAATATGGACTTTTTAGCTGTTGAATATGATGTGATATGTACTGAAAAAATTAATATTTTTCAGTATTTATCACATCATATTCAACAACTAAAAAGTACATATCTGTTTTATTATATAATCTATAAATAGCTTTTATATGGCTTATAACATCTGCCATTGCATACGACGGAAATCATTGTTTTTCAGCTTGTCTACCATTTCCATAATTTGGCCCTTTCCATTGGCATGCTACTCCCTATTTTTCTTAAAAATGAAAAACGGTCACTAAGATAGACTCATTTGACTCTTATGTACACCAAACCAAACGTTTCTTTAGAATAATAACAACAAACTTGGCGTGACGTCACGTCAAAGTCTCGCGTCTTTTAGGGATTTCCAGAAAATCTATTTTTAGAAGATAAACCGGTGAATATACTTCGAAAATCTATTTTAGGAAAAAAAACAGTGAATATACTCTGATATTGACCTGTTATTTTTTTTACAAATAGTTGCTTGTAAGCCAATCAGGGAAAGGCATTTCAAAGCTATTTATAGATTATATAATAAATTCATATATTTTGTTAAAAATTGTTCGAGAACAAATAGTCATTTACATCCATCATTAATTTAATGTTTACATTCCATAAGATTACTCTAAATTAACAATTGATAAGAACTTTAGTGAATAAAATATAATTTTAGTTATTAATCTACTTAGATTTTATAAAAGAAATTATCCAAAATGAATATTTCATTATCTAACAGTTTATATGACAATATTATAATATGACAAAAACCTATATAATGGAGAGAGAACAAAAGATGAGAAGATTTTCTAGACAATTTCAGCTTATGTATAAATTGTAGAAAAATATATGATATAATTTATTAAATTTTCATTAATAATGACGATCTACACCACATTTATCTCTTGTATATATTTATAGACATATAAGCATAATATTACATATGACTAAATGGTGAGATCAATAGATAAAAATACAGAATCCACTAAAGAAAGCTCACCATAACACCTGCAAAATATTGGAGAAATGGTATGGCAAGGCTCAAGATTATTGATTGAGCCCTGTTTCATGGACGGTACTGGAAAGTGCAAGTTACTGTCCACGCCCCCTAACTTTTTAACTTTTTACAGTTAGATAAATGACAAAATGTTTAGCATCTGTTAAAGTGAGAAACAAAAATATATACCGACAACCATATTTATTTGGAGTGAAAACTGGAAACATACATTTTTGACCTTCCCATAAAGTGCTCCCATGCAATGAGCTATAAGTGAGACTTAATACTAATTCATTTGTGTTTGATATATAATATATATATATATATATATATATATATATATATATATTATATATTATATATATAATATATATATAATATATATTTATAGAAATTTACTTGTGCCATGTAGGATTATTGGATAATTTTTAAAAGTAGAATATGAAATTGACCACAAATATGGCAAAAATGTAAATATTTTACTTTTTTCCTGCACTTTCACATTTACACAAAGGTGGGTAACTAGATGGAAATAACTTTAATTGACAATGCATACATTGTATCACTGACCATATATGAGGCATGAATGCATCGATATGATTTTATAATTGCAATTAAGTAGTATAAAATTAAGAGTCATTTTCAAGTTTGACCATAGTATTTTAGTCGTTGGAATTGGTTGAAAAAGTGAATCAAAAATATAAAAGCACTAGAAATTAACGAAATGGAAAAATAAACATGAAGAAATCACTTTGATCCATCATCGTAAGCAAAATTTCTCTCTACAATTATAAATGGTTAAAAGAAAAGGGAATAAATTCATAAAAAAAATGCTTTAAATCGAAGTGAACTATTTGCTTCATTTAAAATGAAGGAAAAGTTTTATTTTCATTACTTAAAATGAAACAAAAACACAAACCCAATGGGAGCATAAATAACATGAACGGGGATGCATACTAAAACCCAAATCCAACAACAAATAATCAAGATGGAACTTTAATTGACCTTATATTTCTAGTCAGTATTTAAAAGCAACACAAAAGGCAACAGAATAAAAATACCCTTTGCTAATGAATTGCTTTTGCTTGAAATCGATGAAGTACACTATTTGAGTTGGATAATATGAATCAAAGACATGCACTTAGCAATGTTCATCTTCATGTGAACAACTATCTATTTTTTTATTTATCGGTACGTATTTTCTTCCTCTTAAATTTTTATTCCCTTTATCTGTTCACAATTTTACTACAATCCCTTCTTCAAAAATATTTCTATACTTACAATTACACCTCTTTTTGGTTAATGTCCGACCCCTTATCTTCACATGCCCCTTTTTAGAGCCCATTTAGATGCCGTTGCTTTGAGTTTTGTAGAGGCCGATATAAGTGAAACGTTACTCTATTCTTGTTGACCTCGTTCGGGAATCCTCTTCTTAAGATTTGGTCCACGACCATTTCAATTTTCAGGAGGGAAGCAGTGTTTGTTTGTTGTTAATTCTAATTTTTACATAGAAGAATTAAATAACAACAAATGCCTGTGCTTAACCCACTGTCCTTGTCAACGCTTGGACTTAATTCTCCACTCTCCAAGCACTGGTTCGGTGTCCATGACGAAAAAATCTTCAACAACACCAAAGATAGGTTCTGATACATTAACGAGCTTCTTCATCTGATTGCCCTTTGGGTCCTAGAGTTTAGTACAATACATGTTGTACTTTTAAATTTCTAAATTATTGAAATGAATTGTCGGGTAATAACCTTACCTTTGAATTAAACGTATACAATGTAAATATTTTCAGAAACAATGAAAATCAAGAGCAATGGTAATGAAACTAAAAATTTTGATAATTGCAGACTTGTTTTCAGCCAGTGTTCGTAACAAATATGAGGAAGCGATATGGCCTACAACACATATCACTGGCTTAAACAAATTCAATATTTACCACAGGTTAAAGACAAAAAATAAAATGTTACAAATCTGGGATGAAGGACGGGACAAGTAAAATCAACAACAACAAAAATAATTATGTCTTCGAAACCACCGATCGGTCTGTTCAGTCTGTTTGATATAAATTAAAACACTTACGTAAATTGAGATATTAAATTGACCACTGTAAACCATCATATCAGAGGATATCCCGAATGTTCGGAAACGAACTGAAAAAAAATTAAGCATATGTTGAAATCACTACAATTATAGGATTTCTTTTTTTAATTATTTTCACACCAATCATTTTTTCACAAGGCAATGCTCTGTCTTTACCTGCAAGACTTACACAAATTATGACAACTTAATGACTCTAAGAAATTGATATTTACATGACTCTAAAAAATTTATATTTACAAATAAATATAAAAAAAACATGTGATAAAATTATTTTTATATCTACCAAAACTATAAACGTTTTCAGTTTTATCAAAGAATATTTTCATGAATAAAATATTTATTACAGAAATCATTATCCTATTAAAATGCCGGCACACGTTGTCATTTTACGAGTTTCTATGTATATGAACTACTCTTTTTTTTTCAATTAACGCTTTAAAAATAAATATAAATACTCGTACAAAAAGTGAAAGAAATGACCAATACACCCCTGGTTTTTATGGATTAGCCACATAGTTAAAGTCCTTTTGTAAAAAAAACAGCAGTAAAGGCAACATTTGACAAAATACTCGCAAAAAAGCTTTTTAGGCAAAATATTTAGAATATATTGTTAACAACGTACCTGTCTGTCCTGGTTTGTATATTCCTTTGTCCGTCTGTATGTGAATTGCGAACATTTCTGGTACGGCACCAGAGTCGTAATAAAGAATGGCATGCTGTTGGAAGAATAACCCATTTAGACCGTTTATCAGTAAGGTGTACCTGTTCGGATCATCTCCAGTATCTGGTACCTGCAAATTTTAAAATATTTTACCAATTAACCTCTTAAAATCTATGTTTGTATGAGAACTTAAAAAATCTGTATTTTCATGAGCAGGTTTATTGGGCCAATTCACTCATTTCTTAGATAAAGAATTATGTGTAAAGCGTAAATTAATAGTAATAAAAAGCCTCAATGCCCAGGCAGGGCTAATTAAAATGAGTTATACAGGAACGTGTAAAATATGATAAGATTTGTGTACAATAAACTATTTATTTACCTTTAATTGCACTAGTTCTGATTTGGCTGAAAAACATAAATAATTACAATAATAAATATCTAATGTTATAATAGCTCCATGAAAAATCGTACAATTATTGACTAGTGAGACATTGAATTTGATGTGATTTTCACCGGAAGAGGTCATTTTGAACGAGACGATAGCCAGATCATATTCTATGGCTCAGTAGTTAATAATTGTTTTATCATATGTATAGTCTAAGATTTAAAAAAGATAGCATATGTACAGCCTTATACAACTTTTGTCTGTGACGCGCATATTTCTTACAAGATGATGTCAGGCGTTTAACGTCATTTTTTCGTATTTTCATGTTTAAGTGATTTTGTCTACCACCACGCAGAACGAATGTTAAAAAGCAGAAAATTACGACAAACTGATCATTTTGCGTATTTTCACGTTTTCGTTTTACGCCTCAGTGTGCGAAAGAAAGGGAAAGAGGTCACTGTTTTCTTTGGAAAAAAACAACAAAAAATACAGCAATCAAATCTTACTGAGAAGCTTCTATTGCACGTTTGATTGTGATTATTCTTCATTTTAGTTACGCCTTATAATACTTTATCTTATACTGTAAATCTATTTATATATACCCTACTCTATGAACAATCTTAAGCGTATGTCTGAACTCTTGAATATTAAAAATAAACACAAAAAACAGTTATCTCCCGCAATTGTATTAACAGGTCATTACCTCCCTTGAAGGTATGAGTAAGCGTTGACACACTATGATGATCATCACGTATCAAGTCGACTTGTACATCGACATCAACCCCGGAAATGTTGTAGAAATTAAACGTCAGCGGAATCGGCACCCCAGGGGTGTATCTGTCCGGAACAACTATCCAGTGCGATCTAAAAAAAAATGATACATAAGAAATCAGCAGAAATCGACTTTCCACTCATATACAAGGATGTATAGCACCAAACTTGATGTAGATTTTGTTTATATTAATTTTAGCAGTATTAAATCTTTTCAATGATAACAATGAATTTATTGAATACAAGCTATTTGATAGAAAACGCGTTTAGAACCCTCCTTTGGCCATTTGTTACATGTATTTTTATTTTTGAGAGAAACAAAAACTAAAATAATGTTAATCAAAATGCCCATATAAACACGTTGTGTTTAACCCCGATCTAGCGAGAACTAAAATTGGCTAGCCTTTGTCACCAATATATAGGCAGGCCAGCCTGCACGTCCGAAAAGTCTGACCGTCTGAGCAGACTCTTTACTGTAAGATGATCTTGATATCAAGAACAAACGAACAGAAGCTAGAGAATTTATTTAAGAAAGCCAGGAAGTTTAAGGTATAATAATTACCCGGTGATACTCGTATCTTTTGCGTTAGTGACATCACACGCCACAAACACACAAAGCAACGTATAAATAAACAACATTTATTCGTCTTCAGTATTTGTTAAGAAGTTTAAAATTCACTATCTGTAATATAAAGAACACATTTCATTAATAGTATAAACTATTTTCAAAGGTAAGCCATGAATGAAAACTTTAGTGAAAGTCCTAAAATTGAATGTCTTGAAACTTAAAATGTATAATTAAATAACGAAACATCAGAATTTGGAATTGAATCATGAACCATTAGAATGTAATATCGAATCATAAAACATTAGAATGTAGAATTAAACCATGAAATACGTTTATTAGAATGTAGAATTAAACCATAAAATACGTTTATTAGAATGTAGAATTAAACCATAAAATACGTTTATTAGAATGTAGAATTAAACCATCAAATACGTTTATTAGAATGTAGAATTAAAACATAAAACATTAGAATGTAGAATTAAACCATGAAATACGTTTATTAAAATTAAAGCATAAAACATTAGATTGTGCATTGAATCATGAAACATAAGAATGAAGTAATTAGTCATAAACTTTAGAATTAAATCATAATCTTTAACAAAAATTAAATCGTAACTTATCTAAAGAAGTGGACGGTACGGTGAACATAACTTACTTCTTAAGTCATGAAATATTAATACTTGGATGTAAATTTACATCATTGTTTTCTTTTTATCAATCAAGATCACCATGACTATTAAGTTAAATATTTAGTTAAACAGCATTGTTTTTTTCTCAGTGAAATATCAAATCTTATTTCTAATTAAATAGTTTAACACAATTTATCAAAAAACTTGATTTTAGTATGGCATGGGCATTTATCAAAGTAGTTCTTGTAGTATGGAATGTCTTTTTTTTAAACACAAATGAATATAGTACATTAACAGAATAAAATATTCCAGAATAAAGAATTATCCTGCTATTTTAAGCAGCGATTTAACTGTTAAGCATGAGTCACTGGTTCAAAAAGAAATATTACGATCATGGGTTCCTTTCAAACAGGTATTTTGAAAGTATTCTTTTTCATATTCAAACAATAATCATGTTAATAAAACATTGCCTCCATGTTTAGTTTTACTTTAGCTCCTTTGCATCTAAAGCAAAGTTTGTAGCATGGTAGTGCTTCCCTTGACATAGTTTTTGTAAATTAATAAGTTAGTATGATTGTTATGTCAGTAATAAAAAGAACTAGATTCGTTTATCATAATGTACAAATAATATATATATATATATATATATATATATATATATATATATATATATATATATATATATTAATATACGTACTACAATATACAATTCTATTACCAAAAAGGCCCATTTATGCCCCAGAAATGCTATCATTTTCATTTCTCAAAATCTGTTTTAATTTTTTCTATCACGTTACAGTAACACCCCCATCCCCCAAAATAATTCATTTGCTTTCTTTGCTTTGTTGGCAATTAGTAATAATTAAGGTGACTTAATATTTTGTATGGTAGTCAAAAATATTACTTTGTTTACATTTTGCTATTGTAACGAGACATTACTGTACTTCTCGGCCCTTGGTCCCTTTTTATTTCTAATATATGTGACCTATATTGCTGAAAAGCTTCTGAGTGTAGTAACAAGACTTTTCGCTGACGATAGCTCTTTATCCGTTTGCTATAACGGTCTAAGTTACATTTAAAGTACTTGTAATTCCGACCTTAATAAATAAATGTTCTAATCAATAGATTGCTTGGTCAAAATAGTCGGTTCTGTCAGGCAAAAATTCAAAAACTTGTAATTGTTTATAAATCAGAAACAATTATCTATCTGAATATTTATATTCATTATGTCCGTCAAGTGTATCAGAAACTACTTCTTGTCTTTTGCGAAATAATAACAATTATATTACTATAACTAGTCGCACTCATTTATATAATGCATCGTTTCGTTTTCACCATCCTCCGTAGAATTATGTAAAGACCTCGACCCCCGATATACGAAACTCTCGGACACTCAAAATATTTAAAAACTTGTTTAAAGCACCAACGTTAACGTTTCCGAAGTATTATTTTTATGGCCAGAGATACTAATCAATATTGCATACACGTTATAGAAATAATTGCAGTAATTTAAATAATTTTTTATATGATAACCATTTGCGCGAAGATCCTTTTTGCCCATGTGATATTGTGATTTAAAATGCCTAACATTTCTTATTCAAATGTAAAAGTTACATTGAACAACAGATAATACTATTTCGAGAAACTCGATCTTATTATCCATTTTACATAGAAACATAATTGTTTGATCTTGAAAATTTAGAATATGAAGATGACCTTGTCATTTTCGAATCAGTTTGAAACTTTATTAAGACGACCCCTCGTTTTGATTCTATTTGACTTTTCAACTTGTTCTTGTTTTTATTCCAAATTGTGTCATTTATCTTGGCTTAATTGCTCTAATCTAACCTACTTAAGTGACAAACATTGACAAACTCTCATTCCCCCAAAACCATACAACAATTCAACTATATTAGAATCATTGCTAATGATGGCAACCTGTGGATGAATTGCACATCAAAATCAAAATTGTTTGAAATCGAATACATATCTTAAAGCTTATGTACATGTTTAAATTAATCATCGTTGCCTTATTAGTATTTGTCCTGTAATATTTTTCTTTGGAAAGACTAAATCTAATGTTGTAAGAATTTGTTGCCCATTGGTCACCTTTTTGCATTTTGATATATATTTATCATTTGTATAATATGTTTGTAAACATGTATTTAATACAAAAAATATGTGTAAAAAGTATACAATCAACTCTCGTTTCTTCAGTTTTAAAATATGTAGGATGTTCTTACTACATTATTTAATATTATGACAACACATGTTTGACATTTCGAAATGATCATAATAGATTTTAACGGATTTCTGAGGCATGAAAATTATTTGTTTAATTTATATATGGATTCATTATCTAAAATCATTTTCAAGGAGGGAAGAATTAAGCCATGGGCTAGCGTTATATCAATTTTGGTATGCTTAGATGATAAAGTATTATTATATGATAACAGCTCTTTTCATTTAAAAGCAATTCGTATGTATAAAATATAAAATTATTATTTTTGGAGAAAAATCCACTCACCTTTCCTTGTATGAGTATGTTTTGAAGTAATAATTGTATCTCTTCACGGGCTTTTATATATTTCACAATCCAGCAAATATTAAAGGTCTATAACAAAACCGACCTAGCTTTACTTTTATCTGAAACAAGATACGTCAGTTTAGAAATTGGCTCATATCTTATCAGAATACTCGCATGACCTTTCTTAAAGTCCTGGTGCAGACTAGGTTATTCAAGGAATCCCTATCTAATTAAGGACATGATTTTGATAAAATCAATTTGTTTGACTTGTTGTGAATTTCAGTTCGCGTACACTACAAGTCACCAAGAACAGCTATAGGTCATGTACGATGAAGATTCACAGACACAAAATGACGTTTTGAAGACAAGACAAAAAGCGCAGGGTTGAATAAGTGCAAATATGTTCCGAAAGAGTAAGAAGCTGCGAAATATCACGAAAGCGACGTTTTATCACAGAAAGTGTAACAAAGCCATTTAATAAAAACGATATTACACAGTGCATATCAGTTTGATGTGACTCATTTTAACTGTAAACCTTTCTCTTTTTTGATATATGATAAATATAATATTATATTCGTGTAGATTGAATACTAATTTTAGTAAAGTCGTTGATTGAAAAAATATTATACTCGCCAGAATATCGCATAATATGATTTCCTTCAACTAGTTAGATAAATTGAGAATCAAACCAACACTCATTCAATACCCTCTACATATTGCATACAATGCTGCCATTAATAGCTGAACATGCTTTGAAGTTGTTATTTTAATAATACATTATTACAAAAGAACATATTATATTTTGGCAAAATTGATCCATGATTTATAGAGGAATTTCATTAGATTCGATACTTTATTGATCATTTACCACCTGATGGTCTAGTGGTTTTAAATACGAATTTTTTTATACCTATGTCATTATATAAAGTAACAAAATCTAGTGCATTATATGGTCATAATGGCAATATTTAGGTAATATTGATTTTTTTTTTGCCCTGCTACTCGGCGTCATTTTTTCCCATAATAGGTGAGTAAATCTAAGTTTAGAAGGAAATGGTCAATCGCGATCAACAAAGCTTAACTTGGACTATCTTTAAATTCAACAGAAAAAAAACCCAATTACTGTTTCAAAACCAATACATGACCCTCGGAAGTTCAGAAAATGACTTCAGATTGAAGGCAGATCTACTTTACTGACATAAAAGCAGAAACTTTAAAAACCAATATTAAAGCTACAAAATATATCTAGTCGTTGATATATTAATATAAAACTAGGGCTACATCAACAGGTAGATCTTGAGGAACTATTAAACAATTTGTAACAAAGGAAGAACTGGAACCACCAATAAGGCAGGAAAAAACGCCGGATTTGTGACTTGACAATACCATAACCGTTCCTAAAAAGAACACACACAAGTCGATAACAGAAAATGGCAGTAAGCGTTATTCTCACAAAGGAGATCTTATATTAATATCATATAAACAACAACAAAACACAATTTCTCATCTTTATTTTACACGTACTAACATGTTTATCACGTTTTCTAAGTCAATCAATCGAAAGGTTAAACTGAAGGACAGATATTTGTTATCATTGGATATTTCATTAACATTGACAACTGTCTTAGAAAGGGCAACAACTAAGATTAGCGCCGTAAATGTGTATATGTATCATTAGTTACTGCTCGCCATTGCGATAACGACCCTCGAAGTCATAATGTCCTTTAGACCTGCGGCCCTAAGGCCATTATGTATACCTTAAGGCCATTATTGCCTCTAAGTAATCGCCTTGTTGCAAAGTAGAATTTCCGACACACAATTCTTCATCAGATTAAGTTAAAATAATGTATCTTTTCCCCCGCATTATTTATTGACTTTTTGATACCGTTAAGGGTTTGTTTTGGTGAATGGATGCTATTGAATTCGTTACAAAAATTGCCTGCGGGCACTTATTTCCACTCGTTAAGCAGTGTTTTTAATTCAGGTCGAAGAAACCTAGCAACTTATTCAAACATAGAAAACGAGTAGTTATTTGGACAAAACTGTTGCACTAAAGGTCAAACAATATATGAAACTAATTTTGATAAGGAATTTAAAATTCGCAGCTCAGTTGTTTAAGCATAAGTTTCTCCATCACCATTATAGTGCATGTATCGTATGGAAAGTAAATGTTTTTGTTTTTAATAAGATTTATACAAGCGTTAGGTGTTGATAACGTAAAAGAACTAAGTAGTTAAATCACATTGGGTGTACCTGTTTTGACCTAAACTGCATGTTCAAGATGTCCGCTAGGAATCTCTACATGCAAAATGCTAGTTTATGCATCATTATCTTAAATCATTGAATCTTCAGGCGCTGTTATACTCGGACCAGTTGTAAACAATCATTATAATCCCTGATTAAGTTAAGTAGTAATAAATGATGTGATAAAATTAAATGGCAGTCATTAAATCTCCACATTAGTATAGGAAACACGTCAAATTTTATCATTCCATGTAAATAATTTCATAAATAAGTTCAAGGAAATCTATCAGTTTTGCTTTATGGTATTATATTTTCTATTTCTTAGATTATTTCATGATCATAATTTTAATTTGGACGTTTGGTGTATTAGTCAGTATTAATCCTTTCATTAGTTACACACTTTAGTTATGGAACTTCAAAAGCAAATCGCTCTTAAACCGTGTTTTCAAGTTAATTTGATGAAATAAGCAAACAAGATTTTACGCAATCGTGAAATGACTGCGAAGGATTGCAATTGACCAGCTTTGCACTGCAAACATTGAAAAGTGCCGAATAAAATGCTATCTTTACGGATGTCTTTTTCTTTTAAGATCAAGGCAGTTAAAAAAATGAAATTGAAAGGGGAAGGGGAATTACGACACAAAATATTTCATTGCATCCGTACTAGTACTTGCCTAGTCAATTGCGTAGATAATGATAACCAATAATTACACCAATAATTAATTTGTTCTGACTGACTACTGTTTTTTTATTATAGTTTATTATTATATGTTTAAGGGCATTTTTTAGAAGACGCCTTTTGCCATCGTCGCTAACAGGTTTAACGGCATACGGATACAGTATTAGTCACACATGGTAGGAGCTTTCATGTTTAACTGTTTATGTCATGTTATGTTGATTAGTTTTAATTTGATTCTTAAAAATCAACTAAACAAATGCACTGCTAATGTACTGTTCATTGTCAGCACAATAATATATTTGTCTATGCATTTATTGATGATGATTAATACGGACACAGTATCAGTCACACATGGTAGGAGCTGTCATGTTTAACTGTTTATGTCATGTTATGTTGATTAGTTTAATTTGATTCTTAAAAATCAACTAAACAAATGCACTGCTAATGTACTGTTCATTGTCAGCACAATAATATATTTGTCTATGCATTTGTTGATGATGATTAATGGTACTTTTCAAAATGGAGGAGCAAAGCCTTAATCATTTACAGCCTTAATTTGATTTTGTTGTTTATTCAAATTGAAGTGAACATTGACGCTAATCAGTGCACAATAATTAGGTTAAAACTTTCTCTAGAAATATATTTAGGTGTCGCCTTTGATGCTTTGCATCAATGCTTCTCTTGAATTATTTGTAGAAGATGGCTATATATAGAAGAAGGCTATCTATGTTTATCTATATAATCTGTCTGTGTTGGGAAATATTGTTGAAAAAATACTTCATTCCGTCCATTTCTCATAATAACGGCATGCGTTGTATAAAGGTCTATAAAATGTTACCGTTAATAAAGAGGTTATATGAAACACCCTAAACAAATCTTATAATATATTAATATTATGGACTCACTTGAAGCATAGCATGATAAACATTAGAGGTGTTATGTTTATCCGTTTATCGGTTTTAGCAAAAACAAAAACAAACTGTTAGAAAATTCAATTACCAGTATCCAATGTTAATTTTTGTCTAAGAGGCATAAAATATTTAATTTATTTTGCATATAACATTTGTTTTTCATAATAAGATACGATAATTGCTTGCTAACAATTTATTTTTTTCCGATCTGATCGAATACGGTACGACCCTAACGGAAAATGTCAAAATATAAAAACAGTTTATCAAAAAAAATCGTCGAACGTAATGCGGTCACATATCAAATACTACAGTATCCTTGACATGTCAACAAGTCAAATTCACATCAATTTATTTATCCCTCAAGTGCTAGATTACCGCTTATCACGAAATGATATCAGCAATCTTTTTTCTTCCTTGGCAGGTGTGTTATATATTTTTATGTAATTATACAGGAATAAAGGGACCCAAATTAAATACGAGATGAAAATAAAAAATAAACGAAAACATCAAAGACAACCAAATATGTTGCTAATTATTTTTTTAACGTTTTGTTTTATGCGTTATCATAATATCAGTTAGTTTCATAAAAAATATCGGTAAAGTAGGATGTTCGCTACTCCAAATATCAAAAATGCCAAAATGATTAACCAAAAGTAAAACACAAACACGATTTTATACTAATATGCAGAGGATACCATAAACCAAATCTAAACAAGCTTCAAATGTATTTTGTCTTTTACAAAATTATAACAATTTGACATTTAATACAGAGAAAATTGCAGAAACAATTGTTTAGTTAATGGGTTACGTCGTTATAGCAGAACTATAATAAAAGCGTCATCTTCTTTCCTTAACTGTACACAGTTAAGCCTGATATCTTCACTTTTCAAATATTACAGAATTGTTATTGTCTGCTGCAAAAGTAGATCACAGTAGCTGAAATCTGACTTTAAAATAAAATATTTAAAGAAAAAACTACAGAAACTGCACTGTTCAGTAGAATTTTGACATTCGTTTTGCATTATCACCTTGTGTTCACTAACGTTACATAAAACATGACTCTGAGGTTCCAAACGCTGAGGCTCACAAATCTTATGTTGACTTATATAGAAAAATAAATTTAAGTCTTAGTTTGAGAAACTACAACGCTAAGATTTTTGTTTTTTAGCATTGCCAAGTGAACCTCTACAAAAGTAATATGTCATTCCCATTGGGTAAAAGCACTCCACCTTGAGTGTCAGTTTACATTCACTTTTGTACAGTAAGATATCCAGAGCTTAAGC